GGTTAAAGACATTTCTATCAACTGACAAAAAATAAAAATACAAAACTGATAAAATGATAAAAAGAAAACAACTCAAAAGAGCAGACTTGATGGGTCTTTTTCTGCCGTCTGTTTTCTATGTTTCTAAGAAGGGAAAGATAGGTAAAGTGGAGGAACAGTATTGAGATGATGAAGAGGTTTGAAGACCTACGTTAACAGAATAGAATATCAGACTTGAAAGGGACCTTGGAGGTCTTCTGGTCCAAACCCCTGCTCAGGCAGGAAACCCTATGCCATTTCAGACAAATGCTTGTCCAGTCTCTTCTTAAAAACTTCCAGTGTTGGAGCATTCACAACTTCTGGAGGCAAGTGATTCCACTGATTAATTGTTCTGTCAGAAAATTTCTCCTTAGTTCTAGGTTGCTTCTCTCCTTGATTAGTTTCCATCCGTTGCTTCTTGTCCTGCCTTCAGGCACTTTGGAAAATAGCTTGACTCCCTCTTCTTTGTGGCAGCCCCTGAGATATTGGAACACTGCTATCATGTCCCCCCTCGTCCTTCTCTTCATTAAACTAGACATACCCAATTCCAACAGCTGTTTTTTATTTTTAGCTTCCAGTCCCTTGATCATTTTTGTTGCTTTTCTCTGCACTTTTTCTAGAGTCACATCTTTTTTTACATCATGATGACCAAAACTGGATGCAGTGTTCCAAGTGTGGCCTTACCAAGGCATTATAAAGTGGTATTAACACTTCACATGATCTTGATTCTATCCTTCTGTTAATGCAGCCTAGCACTGTGTTGGCTTTTTTGGCAGCTGCAACACACGGCTGGCTCATATTTAAGTGATTGTCCCCTACGACTCCGAGATCCTTCCCACAGTTGCTACTATTGAGCAAGGTATCAACTATACCTGTGCGTTTGATTTTTCTTGGCTAAATGTAGAACCTTACTTTTTTCACATAGAGATGGTGAGAAGCCAATAGTTGTTGAAAGATTTATTCTTTCACTTAATGGGTTTTGACTTATTGGCCATGAGAAGCAATAATTGTGTCAGCAGAAGGGCTCTTTTATCATCGTTTTCTTGCATAGGAACCCTGAATTCTCATGTTCCTACCAAGCTAGTATACTTAAGACTATCCTCCCAGGAATTAGTCTGATAACCTGAGATCTGTTCCAGTTCCTGACTCCATCTTGTTCATTTTCTTGGTCATGTGCTCTTCATAACAGAGAAACCTTGGTCTTCAAAGCTGGAGACATCAGCTTTCATACATGTACCTGCCTAAAGATAAGGTGACCAACTTTTTTACAATGAAAAGGAGGACACAAATAAATTGAAGAAAAAAATATTGTAAATAAAAGAAATATTTTATTCATTGCAACAATAATACAGAATACACTATAATATGATAAATGCATAATAAAAAAACATTTGTAACAATAACATTTTATATTGTAATTATGCTTACATGCTGCACCCCAGCTGCCCCGCCAGCACTGCTGCCCCGCCATGTAGAGCGGGCCCCGCGGCTCCCAAAGCACAGCTGTGCCGGCTCCGACCCTGCCAGCAGCCGCCCTGCCAGCACCACCACCCACCCTGCACAGCCCTGTGTAGAGCAGGCCCCACGGCTCCCACAGCACGGGGCAGCCGGCCACTGCCTCCCCTCACACCCCCACCCGTAGCAGCCCCGCCACCCCTGCCTCTTGTGCCCGCAACCATTATTGCCCTAGCAGGGCCGAAGATCAAGAGAAAGTTACCGTGGCGTCACCGCTCCAGTCTCCTCAGGGTATCTTTGGAACTAACTAGGAGATGGTGTAGTTGGGTAGCAGGGAGGGGTGCAAAGTTCCTGCCCATTTGCCTTCGCTGCAGACAACTTAACATGTGCAAAGTTTGCCGGTCGGGTGTTTTGGCGCACTCAGCAGCAATTCCTATTGGCTTTCAAAAGCCAATAGGGGGAGTACCACAGCTCATGCAAAAGTTGAAAAAAAAAACAAAAAAAGATGCCGGAATGCTGTTCTGAGCATTCTATGAGAAAAAAAAAAGCCCTGCAGATTAGTCTTCAAATATCGAAAAGGAGGACATGTAGGAGGACACTTTTTGAGGGAGGACAGAACTCACAAAAGGAGGACTGTCCTCCCTAAAGGAGGACGGTTGGTCACCTTACTAAAGAGTTCTTCAACTCTCCCAATTTTATTGTTTCCCTCTACCCACAGACTTTCTGCTGTACAGATTCCAGTCGCCTCCACATGTGTAACTAACTATAGGCAACCAACGCCTGTATAGTGAGATGCAAGAGAATTGGGGGGGGGGTTGTACTAACGGCTTACACTAATTACAAATAAAAGGATGAGGGGTCTTCCTGCTCTGATTTGGCAGTGGATGTTGTTTGACATTTGTTGAGAATCAGGAACATGGAATGGAATAGAACAGTGGTGGCAAACCCATGGCACGAGTGCCAGAGGTGGCACTCGGAGCCCTCTCTGTGGGCACACGTGCCGTTGCCCCAGCCCCACCTCCCCCCTTGCCCCCCTCCATACCAGCAGCCCCCCCCCTGAGTAGAGTCGCCCCAGGCACAGCCCACCTGGAGCAGCACAGCCAAGGATATGGCAGCTGGGCAGTGGGGACAAGACTCTGCCCTTGCACCCTGTCGCAAACAGATGCTACTGCTGGGCATAATGGAGAGCGTGGCCGCCATGGCGCTGCTGGGCCACCTGGGCAATCGGTGAGCCATGGAGGTGTTGGTAGAAATTCTAGCCCACTGAATAACACCAAACCGCAAGTTGAAATTAGACAGAGATTTATTGGCTACAACGGTTTGCAAAGCGTGGTGGACGCCAAATAAATATTTGAGCCACACCTAGTCACAGCGAAAACACACATTATATGTATTCTATCCCGACGCCTTGGCCCCTCCTCTGAGGTTACAATCTTATCAGACACGCCTAAACAAAATGCAGAAGAGGGAATCAAGCTATTCTCCAAAGCGCCTGAAGGCAGGACAAGAAGCAACAGGTGGAAACTAATCAAGGAGAGAAGCAACCTAGAACTAAGGAGAAACTTCCTGAGGGTGAGAACAATTGATCAGTGAAACAACCTGCCTCCAGAAGTGGTGAATGCTCCAACACTGGAAGTTTTTAAGAAGAGACTGGACAGCCATTTGTCCGAAATGGTGTAGGGTTTCCTGCCTGAGCAGGGGGTTGGACTAGATGACCTCCAAGGTCCCTTCCAACTTTACTATTATTATTATTATCACTGCCCCTTACTATTTTGCTTCACCTATTCCCTTATATGTACTTTATCATGAAATCCTACAGCTCAGTGTGGAAATCCTACAGCCGACGTGCAGAACTCTTACAAGGTACATGTACATGTAGAAATTGTGTAGAAATCTTGCAGTCTACGTGTAGATATTTTGTGTAGAAATTTTACAGAGTACGTGTCACTTAACTTTACTTTTTATTCTAAAATTTTATTCCTAACAGAGGTGGTGGGTGGCCCTGCAGGTGAGTGGGGGTGGGGCAGGGGTGGAGTGGGGGCAGTGCAGGGGGTGTGGGGTGGAGATGGGGCAGTTTTTGGGGCACTCGGTCTCTAAAAGGTTCGCCATCACTGGAATAGAACATAGAATAATGGAATAATAGAATGAAATGAGATTAGGATAGGATTGGAATGGAATAATAACTTTATTGTCACTTTAAATGTGCACCAGTCAGCGTACATTAAAATGAGATTACTCTGCTTTTAAAAACATGAATTAGCAGTGTTTCTCAACCTTGACCATTTTAAGGCATGTCTGTCTATCTATCTATCTATCTATCTATCTATCTATCTATCTATCTATCTATCTATCTATCTCATCTGTCCGTTTATCTATCTATCTATTTATCTATCTCATCTGTCCGTCTGTCTATCTATCTATCTATCTATCTATCTATCTATCTATCTATCTCGTCTGTCTGTCTGTCTATCTATCTATCTATCTATCTATCTCATCTGTCTATCTATCTATCTATCTATCTCATCTGTCCGTCTGTCTGTGTCTGTCTGTCTGTCTGTCTATCTATCTATCTATCTATCTATCTATCTATCTATCTATCTATCTATCTATCTATCTATCTAATCTGTCCGTCTATCTATCTATCTATCTATCTATCTATCTATCTATCTATCTATCTATCTATCTCATCTGTCCGTCTGTCTGTGTCTGTCTGTCTGTCTGTCTGTCTGTCTGTCTATCTATCTATCTATCTATCTATCTATCTATCTATCTATCTATCTATCTATCTATCTAATCTGTCCGTCTATCTATCTATCTATCTATCTATCTATCTATCTATCTATCTATCTATCTATCTATCTATCTATCTCATCTGTCCGTTTATCTATCTATCTATCTATCTATTTATCTCATCTGTCCGTCTGTCTGTCTGTGTCTATCTATCTATCTATCTATCTATCTATCTATCTATCTATCTATCTATCTCGTCTGTCTGTCTGTCTATCTATCTATCTATCTATCTATCTATCTATCTCATCTGTCCGTCTGTCTGTGTCTGTCTGTCTGTCTGTCTGTCTGTCTGTCTATCTATCTATCTATCTAATCTGTCCGTCTATCTATCTATCTATCTATCTATCTATCTATCTATCTATCTATCTATCTATCTATCTATCTATCTATCTATCTATCTATCTATCTATCTGTTTATGTATCATGTGTATATATGTATTCTGGGAGTTGAAGTCCACATGCCTTAAAATGGTCAAGGTTGAGAAACACTGAATTGGACGTTCTCTGAAACTGAGCCAGTCCTAAAGCAAATCCCGGTTTAAGCGCGTGGTGGCCGTGCAAGGAGAAGCCACTAAACGGGGACCTCCCGCAAAGAGGCTCCCCCTTCTCTCCCCCCCCCACCCCAAATCCAGGACAGCCTGCACCAATGAGCCCGGAGGACCCCACGCCAGCACGGTCAAGGGAAAAAAAAAATCCCAGCCCCGAGCGTGCCCCTTCTAGGAAGCAGCACTCTCTCCCTTTAACCCTTTCTTGGAGGACGAGGGGAGGCTGGCCGCGGAGTTTGCGTTGCTCTCCAGCTCCGAAGAGCTCGGAGCGCGGATCCTTGCCTTGCGCGCCTGGCTTTGGAGACCGGAGGCTTTGTCGCGTTTGCCGGGGTAAGGCTGGAGTTTGCGCTCCCTTTTCCCCTCTTGATGTCGCGCGAAGAAGCTTTCCTTTTGCAAAGCCGCTTTTGCAATTGCTTGCAAGGTTGGAGGCATTCGCCCTTGCAGCCTTAGAGCAAAAGAGGGGAGGGGGGCGGGCTAGCGGATGCTTTTGTCCTGGAAAACCCGGACAGCAAAGGCGGGGCGGGGATGGTGGTGGAGGTAGGCAAGGAGATACGATAACCTTTATTGATATTTATTTTTAATAGGAGCACACTGGGCTACATTAAAAATGAAATTCTGCTGCCTGCTCTCAATAGAAAGTCTATCTATCTATCTATCTATCTATCTATCTATCTATCTATCTATCTATCTATCTATCTATCTATCTATCTATCGTCTTTTAAAATACTAAAAATGTGAATCCTGGGCATTATGCTAACAAATAAAAGAAAAACGAACACTAGGATATAATAAACCAGCCTGTTTAATATAAACAAGCCTGTGGTTAAGAAGAGTCACTAAAACAACCAGTGGAGTCAAAGATAGTTTGCCTGATGCGGAACAACTTGGTGTGATAAGGATTAACACAATCAACGGGCTGATGACGTGCTCAAGGAGTCAGGCGCAGAGGCAGGAGCCTATATGAGCTGCCTTCCCAATCTCCTGCTAATCTATCTATCTGTCTGTCTGTCTGTCTATCTATCTATCTATCTATCTATCTATCTATCTATCTATCTATCTATCTATCTATCTATCTATTGATCTATCTCGTCTGTCCGTCTATCTATCTATCTATCTATCTATCTATCTATCTATCTATCTATCTATCTATCTATCTATCTATCTATCTATCTATCTATCTATCTATCTCATCTGTCCATGTATCTGTTTATGTATCATGTGTATATATGTATTATGTATGTATGGGTATGATTATGGATATGGATATATGTGTCTCTCTGTGTGTGTAGGTTCTCTCTGTGTATGTGTGTACATACCTATACACTTGGAATACTGCATCCAGTTTTGGTCACCATGATGTACAAAAGATGTTGAGACTCTAGAAGGAATACACAATAGAGCAGGGGTGTTAAACTGCCGGCCCATGGGCCAGTTTCAACATACCGAAGCCGTGCCCACCCCATTGCCGGCAATGCAAAAAGAGTCGCGATACATCGTGATACGTCACGTGGCAAGTTTGACATCCGTGCAGTAGAGCAACAAAGGTGATCAGGGGACTGGAGGCTAAAACATATAAGGAACGATTGCTGGAATTGGGTAGGTCTAGTTTAATTAAAAGGACTAGGGGTGACAGGATAGCATTGTGCCAATATCTCTGGGGTTGCCACAAAGAAGAAGAGATTCACCTAGTCTCCAAAGCACCTGAAGGCAGGACAAGAAGAGACTAATCAAAGAGAGAAGCAACCTGGAACTAAGGAGAGATTTCCTGACAGTGAGAACAATCTGTGAAACAACTTGCCTCCAGAAATTGTGAATGCTCCAACACTGGAAGTTTTTAAGAAGAAACTGGACAACCATTTGTCCAAAATGGTATAGGGTTTCCTGCCTAAGCAGGGGGTTGGACTAGATGACCTCCAAGGTCCCTTCCTAGTCTGTTGTTCTATATTCTATTCTATTTCTATTTCTATTCGTTTCGGTTTCTGTTTGTTCCTGTTCTGTTCTATTCCTATTCCATTCCATTCGTTTTGATTTCTTTCTTCCTATTCTATTCTGTTCTGTTCTCTTCTATTTCTATTCTATTCTATTCTATTCTATTCTATTCTATTCTATTCTACTCTACTCTACTCTACTCTACTCTACTCTACTCTACTCTACTCTACTCTGCCATTAATGCTTTTTAAAATGTTTTGTTTCCTTTTCCCCTTAGCTCGGTTGCTGAAGAGACCTCTGGTTGTGTGTAAAGTTTCCAGTTTTCCAGGAAGAAAAAATCCTCGGCTTCTTCCTGCCCTCCTGCTCCTATCAATGAAAAGTGTTTTGCAGATCGGTAAAGTCCTTTCAATTTGACCAGAACAGCATTTAAGCGCAGCAAGCAAAGGAGAAGGAAGAGGCCCCCAGTGTTGTCTTGAGTGAAACTGCTGGGAAATTCATGGAAGAAAGCAATCAATACATCCTGGAAGGGGAAACCACCAATGGGGTTCTACGAATTCACTCTTTCAAGGAATTCGGCTACCAAGAGGCTGACGGGCCCCGAGAACTTTGTAGCCGACTCCACCATATTTACCGTCTACGGCTAAAGTTAGAAAAACACACGAAAGCTCAGATGCTGGACCTTCTGGTGCTGGAGCAGTTCCTGACTGTGCTTCCTCCAGAGATGGCCAGCTGGGTGAGGGAATGTGGAGCAGAGACCTGCTCCCAGGCGGTGGCCCTGGCAGAAGGCTTTCTACTGAGCCAGGCGGAGCAGAAGAAGCTGCAGGTGAGTTCGTATCATGCCGAAAGATGTCATTATGGGAAATAACGTTACTCAATGTTTAAATGTTTCCCTTCCAGAACTAATTGTCTATGCCAGTGGTTCTCAACCTTTTTAATGCCGCGACCCCCAACTGGTCATAAGTCGAGGACTACTCAACCGGTCGTAAGTCGAGGACTACTCAACTGGTGCAGCCCCATTTGCAGAATGGGACTTTTGGCGGGCTCAGCAGGGCAGAGACCGCCTGGACAATTCCTATTGGCTTTTGAAAGCCAATAGAATTAGACTCTATTCAAGAGAGTCTATTCCAGTGGTTCTCAACCTTTTTAATGCCACGACCCCCAACCGGTCATAAGTCGAGGACTACCCAACTGGTTGTAAGTCGAGGACTACCCAACCGGTTGTAAGTCGAAGACTTTCCCTGCCTGGGAGTACCGCGCATGCATGGTGCTGCCCCCTGCACTGGCTGAGGCGTAGGTGGCAAGCAGCAGAGACGGCGCAGGCCGACCACCGGCTGGGCCACCAGCTGGCCCAGCCCAAGGGAGGTAAGGCACCTGCCGGGCCCCATGCGCGCCAGCAACCCTCCCTGCGCCCGCCGGCCTCCCACCTCCCACCCCTGGCCTTCTTTTACTTACATTTTTAGTAGTTGCTCAGCAGGGAGGGGTGGAAACTTCCAGACAGCTTGCCTTTGCTGCAGACAACTTGCAGCACCGTTTGCAGAATGGGACTTTTGGCGGGCTCAGCAGGGCAGAGACAGCCTGGACAATTCCTATTGGCTTTTGAAAGCCAATAGAATTAGACTCTATTCAAGAGAGTCTATTCTATTGGCTTTCAAAAGCCAATAGAATAAAAGGGAATAGCACAGCTAAGGAAAAGGGAAAAAAATGGCGGACTGCGTTGTTTGGCGACCCCCGTGAAATGGTCGTTCGACCCCAAATGGGGTCCCAACCCACAGGTTGAGAACCACTGGTCTATTCTATTGGCTTTCAAAAACCAATAGAATAAAAGGGAGTAGCACAGCTAAGGAAAAGGGGGGGAAAATGGCGGACTGCGTTGTTTGGCGACCCCCGTGAAATGGTCGTTCGACCCCAAATGGGGTCCCGACCCACAGGTTGAGAACTACTGGTCTATTCTATTGGCTTTCAAAAACCAATAGAATAAAAGGGAGTAGCACAGCTAAGGAAAAGGGGGGGGGGGAAATGGCGGACTGCGTTGTTTGGCGACCCCCGTGAAATGGTCGTCCCGACCCACAGGTTGAGAACTACTGGTCTATGGAGATTCTCAGTCATCCAGGCCATGGTTGTCCCAAAGGTGTTTTTTCAAGAGGCAACTGGACTACCTTGTTTTTCTTTGAAGATGTTTTTGCTTCTCAGCCAAGAAGCTTCTTCAGCTCTGACTGGATGGAGGGGAATGGAAGGATTTATACTCCTTGCAGACAGCTGGTCATTTGTATTCTTTTAGAGAGTGGTTGAGGCCACTTGGAGGTTTATCTGTGTCCTCTGGGTCACCTGAGTGGTGCAAATGGATGTGGAGCCTTCTTGGAACTGCTGAAAGGACTGTGTTGTAGACTGGAGATAGATGATGTCATATCCCTCCCCTTCTATTGAGAAAGAGCTGTTCAATTTTGACATAGATGGCCTTAAATGAGCCAGCCGTGTGCTGCAGCTGCGAAAAAGGCCAACACAGTGCTAGGCTGCATTAACAGAGGGATAGAATCAAGATCACGTGTAGTGCTAATACCACTTTACAATGCCTTGGTAAGGCCACACTTGGAATACTGCATCCAGTTTTGGTCAAAAAGTTGTTGAGACTCTAGAAAGAGTACAGAGAAGAGCAACAAAGATGATCAGGGGACTGGAGGCTAAAACATATAAGGAAAAGCTGCTGGAATTGGGTATGTCTAGTTTAATGAAGAGAAGAACGAGGGGGGACATGATAACAATGTTCCAATATCTCAGGGGCTGCCCCAAAGAAGAGGGAGTCAAGCTATTTTCCAAAGCGCCTGAAGGCAGGACAAGAAGCAACGGGTGGAAACTAATCAAGGAGAGAAGCAACCTAGAACTAAGGAGAAACTTCCGGACAGTGAGAACAATTAATCAGTGGAACAACCTGCCTCCAGAAGTGGTGAATGCTCCAACAGTGGAAGTTTTTAAGAAGAGACTGGACAGCCATTTGTCTGAAATGGTATAGGGTTTCCTGCCTGAGCAGGGGGATGGACTAGATGACCTCCAAGGTCCCTTCCAACTTTATTATTATTATAAATGTGCACTGAAGAATACAGGAAGAAGCTTGTCCACCCCAAAGATGAAACACCCGGATACATATTAAGCAATGTGGTATATGCAGTACAATGCCATGAGCCATGTGCAGATCTGTACATTGGGGAAGCAAAACAACCACTTCATAAACGCATGCCATAACATAGGAGAACAAATCCATCAGGACAAGATTCGGCAGTCCATCTGCATTTAAAAGACAAAGGGCACTCTTTTGAAGACAGCAAAGCCCTCATTTTGTATAGAGAGGACCACTGGTTTGAAAAAGGGGTCAAAGAGACCATCTATGTCAAAATTGAACAGCCCTCTCTCAACAGAGGGGGAGGGATACGACATCATCTATCTCCAATCTACAACACAGTCCTTTCGATAGTTCCAAGAAAGCTCCACACCCATTTGCACTACTCGGGTGGCTCTGAGGACATAGGTAAACCTCCAGGTGGCCTCACCGACTCTCTAAAAGAATGCAAATGACCAGCTGTCTGCAAGGAGTATAAATCTTTCTATTCCCCATCCTCCAGTCAGAGCTGAAGAAGCTTGATGGATGAGAAGCGAAATGTCTTCAAAGCAAAACAAGAAAGTCCAGTTGCCTCGTGAAAAAGCACCTTTGGAACTTCTCTAATTATTGTTAGGAGATTTAATTTTCTCTTTAAATCGTCTGTTGTCTGTCCTTGAATCTTTCTGAGGGAATATGAAGAGTACAGTCGCTATTTTGAAGGGAGGGTGGGGTGTTGGAAGCACTGGGCATTAATGCACTGTTCCTTTTTCCTATTGTTTTAGGCTCAGGAGCCTTTCAGGGAGATGACAATTGAACACTATAATAAATATCCTCCTCAGAACCTGGTTTTTGGTGGGATCTCCCAGAAGAAACCATTTCTGGACCCATCTTCAGGTAGGTTCTCCTGATGCAACAGACTGAAGAGTCTGTACTGCCTGAGCTATTCATGAGCTTCGGGTGACACGATAGCTGTGCTCCAATATCTCAGGGGTTGTCCCAAAGAAGAAGGAGTCAAGCTGTTCTCCAAAGCACCTGAAGGCAGGGCAAGAAACAACGGATGGAAACGGATCAAGGAGAGAAGCAACCTAGAACTAAGGAGAAACTTTCTGACAGAACAATTAATCAGTGGAACAAGTTTCCTCCAGAAACGGTGAATGCTCCAACACTGGAAGTTTTAAAAAGAGATTGGACAACCATTTGTCTGAAATGGTATAAGGTTTCCTCCCTGAGCAGGGGGTTGGACTAGATGACCTCCAAGGTCCCTTCCATCTCTGTTATTCTATTCTTTGGAATATAATAATAATAATAATAATAATAATAATAATAATAATAATAATAATAATAATAATAATACACTTGGTAAGCTGTTGCAAGAAGATTGCACAAACTGATTACAAGCAGCGGCATGACAAAGTAGCAACAATGGTGCATTGGAAGATCTGCAAAAAATATCATTTGCCTGTAAGCAAAAACTGGTGGGATCATAAAATAGAGAAAGTCATAGAAAATGATAAAATTAAACTGCTCTGGGACTTCAGAATTCAAACAGACAAGCACCTGCAACATAACACCCCAGACTTAACAATTGTCGATAAGAAAGACAAAAAAGTCTGGATAGTGGACGTGGCAGTGCCTGGAGATAGCAGAATAGAAGAGAAAGAACTGGAGAAGATAACAAAATACAAAGACCTACAAATAGAAATAGAAAGACTGTGGCAAAAGCAAGCAAGGGTAGTACCAATAGTCATAGGCTCCTTGGGTGCAATCCCAAAACAACTGGAGCACCACTTGAACACCATTGGCATTGACAAATTCGCTATTAGTCAATTGCAAAAGGCGGCCTTATAGGAACTGCTTCCATCCTGCGACGATATCTGTAATACCATCAAACATCCACATCTGCCTATCCCAGGTCCTGGGTAAGGACTCGATAGGTAGACAAAATGCCAAATCCAGTCTGAACATCTGGCTGACTGTGCGATGATCGATAATAATAATAATAATAATAATAATAATAATAATAATAATAATAATAATAATAATAATAAAAAATAGAAAGATTGTGACAAAGGCAAGCAAGGCTAGTTTCAATAGTAATAGGCACCAAAACAACTGGAGCACCTCTTGAACTGCATTGGCATTGACAAATTTGCCATTAGTCAATTGCAAAAGGCAGCCTTACTAGGAACTGCTTCCATCTTGCGACGATATCTGTAATACTATCAAACGTCCACATCTGCCTATCCCAGGTCCTGGGTAAGGACTCGATAAGTAGACAAAAATGCCAAATCCAGTCTGAACATCTGGCTGACTGTGTGATGATCAATAATAATAATTAATAAAAGTTGGAAGGGATCTTGGAAGTCTTCTAGTCCAACCCCCTGCTCAGGCAGGAAACCTTTTATCATTTCAGACAAATGGCTGTCCAGTCAAAGAATGGAATGGAATAGAATAGAATAGAATAGAATAGAATAGAATAGAATAGAATAGAATAGAATAGAATAGAATAGGAGTTGGAAGGGACCTTGGAGGTCATCAAGTCCAACCCCCTGCTCAGGCAGGAAACCCTACACCATTTCAGACAAACGGTTGTCCAATCTCTTCTTAAAAACTTCCAGTGTTGGAACATTCACAACTTCTGGAGGCAAGTCGTTCCACCGATTCATTGTTCTAACTGATAGCCCTATTATATTGGGACTCCTTGTCTTACAACAGCTAATTTAGTGACCATTTGAAGTTACAGCGTCACTGAAAAAAAAAGTGACTTGCGGCTGTTTTTCCACACCAACAACCATTGCAGCATCCTCATGGTCATGTGATCAAAATTCGGATGCTTGGCAACCAACTCATATTTATGACGGTTGCTGTGTCCCCAGGGGGTCATGTGATCATCTTTTTGCGACCCTCTGACAAGCTAAAATCAATGGGGAAGCCAGATGCGTATCACACCTGTGTTGCTAACTTAACAACTGCCGTGATTCGCTTTAACAACTGTGGCAAGGAAGGTCGTACAATCGGGCAAAGCTCACTTTACAAATGTCTCCCTTAGTGACAGAAATTTTGGGCTCAATTGTCATAAATCGAGGACTAGCTGAACTTTGGCTCTATATGTAAGAAGGCCATTGTATTCAGCTTTATTGTTGATTTCATTTATATCCCACCTTTATTATTTTTAGAAAATAACTAAGGCAGTGAACATATTCCACACAACCTTCTTCCTATTTTCCCTACAACAATCCTACAGACTCTTTGATAGCTGTTTTTAAAACATGTAATTACTTTTTTTAATCTCTTTCTCAGCAAACGGAACAGCCGTGATGCTAGGTGTGAAAACAGCTCTTCTTTCTGGTGGAAAAGGAACAGTGATTACACTTCCAACTCAGGTAGGGGGAAGTTCTTCTAGTACAGGGGTGTCAAACTCAATTTCATTGAGGGCTGCATCAGCATTGCGGTTGCCCTCGGGGGAGGGGCAGGTGGGTGTGGCCAGGGTGGGTGCGGCTTACTGGGTGGGCATGGCCAGCTCTACATCATTTGTGTCAAGGGTGCCTGTGGGGGCCTGGGCAGGAGTGGGACAGATCTGAGGGTCTCTGGCAGAAGGGGGTGGGACCAGGGCAAGCGCCAAGGCATGGTCCATTTCTTCATTCCTCACAAAGGGTGACACCTCCCCAGCATGCACCCAGGGGGCAGGGCCAACACAGGAGGGGCTGGTTCCTCGCTGTTTCCAGGCGGCCTTGTGGAGCTAAGACAGAATACGTTTCAGCATAGATGGCTACCACAAAATTGTACATTGGCTCCCGGCCGGTCTGGCCCCGGCCGGTCTGGGCCAGGGCCAAGGCAGTGGGGGCCGTTCCCTCACTGTTTCCAGGATGGCTTCGCGGGCCACATGGAACCACTTTGCGGGCTGCATCCAGCCCCCGGGCCTTGTGTTTGACATGTCTGTTCTAGTACCAATGTGTGTTGCCCCACTCACGCATACACACATAACTGTGGATTAGTGAGTGTATTAATATTCCCCAGCAATTCCCTTCACCAAAACCCAGAACTGTCCCAATGAAATCCAGCCACGAGCTGGCCATGATGGATCCACAGGGCAATGGCCTAATAGTTGCTCAAACAAAATAACTCCACCAAGAAAAACTTAAATCTACAGTACACACAAGAAAGCTCACATGGCAAGAAACGTTCAGTGTCTCCAAGACACAATTCCAAGCACAGTGTCAATCCAGAGTGAAGCAGGAATCAAGATGACCAAACATACAGCTAGAAAATCAACACATTGTTTCCAGCAACACTTCCATCTGTCTGCTGTGATAAATAGCCAGCTTTCCGGTGCAGCCCATCAAGACGGGCGAGGCCATCTCCTCTCAAGTAGTCTGGCTGACCTTTTTTGCTCCTGCCTTTTCTCTTCCCTGTGTGTTCTCAAATCAAGTGCAGAGGCAGTTCTTCCTCCTTTTCGCTGGCTGTCGGCCACTGCAAACTTTCCCCAGCTGAAGCCTCCTCCAAATCTCTTTTGGACAGCCGTTCAAAGCCATCAATCAACTCAGTTGCTGACTTGCCAGGAATGGGCTCAACCTCCCCTGAGCTGGCATCTGAGGAGGAATCTGGGGAGTCGCCCAAGGGAGACATCACACAATATGATTTCTTCAAAGGGAATCCTATTCCATCTTTAATAGTTCAAATCTCATTTCTGGTGCCGTGTCTTTTATTTTATTAGCTCCCTCTAGCTTGCTTTTCTGATCGTGAAAAGCTTCCAGCACTCTGATGGGAGAAGCCATTAGGTCATCTGCAGAGCTATGGCATTCTTGCTCCAACCTGGAGGAGGTCTCCCAACAACTTTGTGTCGATGTTCAGTGGAGTTTGTTGACTAGTTCACTTGCCATACACGGTGCTCTGAGCAATTCATTGAAGAAAACTACCATGTTTCCCTGAAAGGAAGGCCTACCCTCAAAATAAGCCCTAGTTTTGGGGTGATGCGCACACCTTAAAAAATCAAGCTAGGGTGGAGGTGTGCAGCTGCCCCATCCGCCCTGTACCCACTTACCTGGCAGCCAGGCCTCTCCTCACCAGCCCATTTCTTCTTCAGCCAAGCCTGCATTTCTCAGTCACAGGCCTTTCCAGAAGACCCCTGCAGCCAAGAACCAAGCTATGGATTCAATCCATAGCTTGGTTCTGCAAGACTTCTGAATTGAATCCATAGCTCGGTACTTGGCTGCATAGGCCTTCTGGAAAGGACTGACTGCAAAATGCAGGCCGGAATGGAGCTGCAGAATGAAGTTGTTCCTTTGGCCCCAGAAGAAGTGGACCAGCTGGGGGGGGGGAGGCTGTCAGTGCCAGAGGTGAGTATAAAAGACATCCCCCGAAACTAAGACCTGATGCCTCTTTTGGAGGCAAAAAATAAATAAATAAGACCCAGTCCTGTTTTCGGGGAAACACGGTACTTTCCCGATGGGGAAGAGCCCTAATCTCTGATGCAGCAAGGTCTTGTCATCAGTTGATTCCTAAGCAAAATGCAACCACAAAATGGCTTTGAAGATTCTGCACAGTCAGTGGGTTGGGATTATGGAGGGAAAGTTGGAAAGATTCTAAGTGTTGTTTAGCAACAGGTCAGACTTGATTTAAAATTAAAGCCTGTAACAGATCCTCCTCTAAAATGAGATGAAAAGGGACCGAGACTAGAAGAAGAAGTTTCATGTTATTGCTCCCTTGTGGCTTATCTGGGCCCTGACTTTGGTCAAAACCAGGGGTAGGCAACCTTGGCTGTCTTATGACTCATGGACTTCAACTCCCAGAATTCCTGAGCCAGCATGGCTCAGCTTAGAAACCTCTCCCTTTCCCCTCAGCATGGCTGGCTCAGGAATTCTGGGAGTTGAAGTCCACGAGTCATAAAAGAGCCAAGGTTGCCTACCTCTGGCCTAGGCCTAGGCCACTTTATGACTCGTGGACTTCAACTCCCAGAATTCCTGAGCCAGCATGGCTCAGCTTGGAAACCTCTCCCTTTCCCCTCAGCGTGGCTGGCTCAGGAATTCTGGGAGTTGAAGTCCACGAGTCATAAGAGAGCCAAGGTTGCATAGCCCTGGTCAAAACAAACTTTCTTCAGAGATCTTCTTTAGTTAAGATCTGTGGCAGCGCAGTGGTTAGAATGCAGTATTGCAGGCTGATTCTGCTGACTGCCGGTTGCCAGCAGTTCGGCAGTTCGAGTCTCACCGGCTCAAGGCTGACTCAGCCTTCCATCCTTCCGAGGTCGGTAAAATGAGGACCCAGATTATTGGGGGCAATATGCTGACTCTGTAAACCACTTAGAGAAGGCTGTAAAAGGTATATAAGTCTAGGTGCTATTGCTAAGTATTGTTCTTGAAGCTATTAATTAATTGGGAATGTTATCTTTCTGTGTTAGGAGCCCATAACCTTTGAAGACGTAGCAGTGCTGTTCTCTGAAGGGGAGTGGGCCATGTTGAATTTTGACCAAAAATCTCTATACGAGGACGTGATGCTGGAAAATGCAAGCAATATGGTCTCCTTAGGTAAGGCATTCTCTTCCTCTGAGCTCAAATAGTATTGGAACACATTAAAGATGTTGAGACTCTAGAAAGAGTGCAGAGAAGAGCAACAAAGATGATCAGGGGATTGGAGGCTAAAACATAAAGAACGGCTGCTGGAATTGGGTACGTCTAGTTTAATGAACAGAAGGACTAGGGGTGACATGACAACAATCTTCCAATATCTCAGGGGTTGCCACAAAGAAGAAGGGGTCCACCTATTCTCCAAAGTACCTTAAGGCAGGACAAGAAGCAACGGATGGAAACTAATCAAGGAGAGAAGCAACCTAGAACTAAGGAGAAATTTCCTGACAAACAATTAATCAGTGGAACAACCAGTGTTCCACTGGTTAATTGCTCTCACTGTTAGGAAGTTTCTCCTTAATTCCAGGCTGCTTCTCTCTTTGATCAGTTTCTAACCATTGTTTCTTGTCTTGTCCTCTGATGCTTTGGAGAATAAATTGACCCCCTCGCTCCTGTGGCAAGAAAAGACTGGACAACTATTTGTCTGAAATGGTATAAGGTTTCCTTCCTAAGCAGGGGGTTGGACTAGAAGACCTCCAAAGTCCCTTCCAACTCATTCTATTCTATTCAATTCCATTCCTTTCCATTCCATTCCATTCCATTCTATTCTTATTCATCTGATCTTTTAATTAAGGGAAATTCCCATCTGATATTTTCCTCACTTATAGGAAGAACTGAAATCTTCAACCCATTTCTATAGAAATATGCTGCATGTGTACTTCAACCATGAAATTTTCTTTCTTCTTTCATTTTGTTCCCAGCAGTTGGTGGACAACAGACTGAGAGTTATACAAAGCAAGCTGTAGAGCCTTCAAAATCAATGGAAACTGAAATCAGAGGAGAGATATTTGGGAATCTGTGGGGACCAGAAAGGCCCAAGGAAACCCAGTTAAACAGAGACCTGGAAAAATCCCTCATCTCTCCGTATGCATGCAGAAAAGATGAAAAAAGGCATAGTTGGAACCTTCCTCTTAATTTACACCAAGACTTTGACCTTAGAGATAAAAGATACAAATGCATGGAGTGTGGGAAAAGCTTCAGCAAGAACAGTAATCTTAATGCCCATAAAAGGATCCACACAGTAGAAAAACCATATAAGTGTATGGAATGCGGAAAAAGCTTCCGCAGGAATAATAATCTTACTTCCCATAAAAGGATCCATTCCGGAGAGAAACCATATGAATGCCTGGAGTGCGGGAAGAGCTTCCGCAAAAACAGTCACCTTACGTCTCATAAAACAATCCACACCGGGCTGAAGCCGTACAAGTGCACGGAGTGTGGAAAGAGCTTCAGTATGAACAGTTACCTTACTTCCCATAAAAGGATCCACACTGGGGAAAAGCCGTACAAATGCACGGAGTGTGGAAAGAGCTTCAATGGCTTGACTTCCTTTACCACCCACAAAAGACTCCACTCGGGCGAAAAACCATATAAATGCACGGAGTGCGGAAAGAGTTGCAACACCAGCAGTGATCTTACTTACCACAGAAGGATCCATTCAGGGGAGAAACCCTATAAATGCCTGGAGTGCGGGAAAACCTTCCGTATTAGCTCATCTCTTACTTGCCACAGAAGGATCCATACCGGGGAGAAACCGTATCAGTGCCCGGAATGTGGAAAGCGCTTCATAATGAGTTCTTCGCTTACGTGCCACAGGAGAACCCACACAGGAGAGAAACCGTACAAATGTTTAGAGTGTGGAAAAAGTTTCAGTCAGAACGGTCACCTTACTTCTCATAAGAGGATTCACATAGCAGAAAAAGTTCAGTCGTGAAAGCTCTTCCGTGATCTCTGTTCCTTTACGCCCAATAAAAAGATCGTACGGATGAGATGCCTATGGAGATTCTCAGTGATCCAGATCACGGTTGTCCCAAAGATGCTTTTTCACGAGGCAACTGGACTTTCTTGTTTTTCTTTGACGATGTTTCGCTTCTCATCCAAGAAGCTTCTCCAGCTCTGGCTGGATGGTGGGGAGTGGAAGGATTTATACTCCTTGCAGACAGCTGGTCATTTGCATTCTTGTAGAGAACCGTTGAGGCCACCTGCAGGTTTATCTGTGTCCTCAAGCCTCCAAGTGGCCTCAATGACTCTCTAAAACAGCGGTTCTCAACCTATGGGTCGCAACCCTATTTGGGGTCGATCGACCATTTCACGGGGGTCGCCAAGCAAGGCTGTCCGCCATTTTTTTTCCCCTTTTTCGGCAGGTGCCTTACTCCCTTGGGCTGGGCCAGCTGGTGGCCCAGCTGGTGGTCGGCCTGCTCCGTCTCTGCCGCTTGCCAGCTACGCCTCGGCTGGCGCAGGGGGCGGCACCACACATGCGCGGTGCTCCCGGCAGGAAAAGTCCTCGACTTACGACTGGTTTAGTCCTCGACTTATGACCGGTTTAGTCCTCGACTTATGACCGGTTTAGTCCTCGACTTATGACCGCTTTAGTCCTCGACTTACGACCGGTTGGGGATCACGGCATTAAAAAGATTGAGAACCACTGATCTGAAAGAATGCAAATGACCAGCAGTCAGCAAGGAGTATAAATCCTTCCATTCCCCACATCCCGTCAGAACTGAAGAAGCTTCTTGGATGAGAAGTAAAAAGAAAAGAAAAACAAGAAAGTCCAGTTGCCTCTTGAAAAAATCACCTTTTGGACAACCATGACCTGGATGACTGAGAATCTCCCTGGACATTGATAATAAAGTTGTTTCATTGCTGATATTAGTTAATTCTGTATTTACATTTTATTGTTTTTTTTCTGGACTCTGCATAGCTGTAAGTGGATATGAAATAAAAATTGATATTAGTGCCAGGCAATTCAAGTTTTCTGAATTCATTCAAGATGTTAAACCAAGTATCTATATGTTAACAGAGATTTGTGAAGATTCAGCCACACTCCCTTGATCTGGATCAAGCAGGGGGCTTGCTCGATCTTGCTTGATAACAGGCAGATTAACTCCACGGAAGGGATTCATGGAAATTACTTTAATTCATCAGGCATCCTCAAGACATTAACTTACAGTTACTGTAGAGATTCTTCTGAAATACAGATCGTAATCTGGACCCATCACGTAGGTAAAAAAGAATAGCTTCTTCTATACTAACGAAGCAAACAGATGTCGTGGCTGGACTTCAGGGAGACCTCGCTGACTGGCACGTAGCCAGGATATCCCGTAATTAAACAGAAGTCCCTCCCAGTGGCCAGTTCGAACACAGATATGACCAGATAACATAAACTACGATACCCAGAAGTCCATCCCTTAAGGCAGTGGTTCTCAACCTTTTTAATGCCGCGACCCCCCAACCGGTCGTAAGTCGAGGACTATGCAACCGGTCATAAGTCGAGGACTACTCAACTGGTGCAGCACCGTTTGCAGAATGGGATTTTGGCGGGCTCAGCAGGGCAGAGGCAGCCTGGACAATTCCTATTGGCTTTTGAAAGCCAATAGAATTAGACTCTATTCAAGAGAGTCTATTCTATTGGCTTTCAAAAGCCAATAGAATAAAAGGGAGTAGCACAGCTAAGGAAAAGGGGGGAAAAAATGGCGGACTGCGTTGCTTGGCGACCCCCGTGAAATGGTCGTTCGACCCCAAATGGGGTCCCGACCCACAGGTTGAGAACCACTGCCTTAAGGGGACAGTTTTTAATTCCTAAGATAGCTATATACTCTGACCAACACAGCCCTGCCTTCTTACTGTATGTGTCACTCAAGATTTTCCTCTGTTTACAGTCGGCTAATTTGCAATACAATATTCTTGGTATATAAAAATATGTATTGTTTTATGTTTAAGCTTCTGCTTTCAGAAAGAAAACCCCAACAAGAGTCATGGAGCCGAGGTGGCCCAGCAGTTAGAGTGCAGTACTGCAGGCCACTTTAGCAGACTGTGTTCAGCAGGTCAGCGGTTCAAATCTCACCGGCTCAAGGTTGACTCAGCCTTCCATCCTTCCGGGGTAGGTAAAATGAGGACCCAGATTGTTGGGGGCAATGTAAAATATATATACATTGCTTACTGGTGTACACCGCTTAAAGAGTGCTTGCACTTAAAGCGGTATATAAGTCTCATAAATAAATAAATAAATAAATAAATGACACACCCATATAGGTAGTCCTTGACTTACAACCATTCCTTTAGTGAGGACTCAAGGTTACAATGGCACGGGGGAAAAAAATCACTTGCGACCATTTTTCAACTTGCGACCGTTGTAGAATCCCCATAGGCAGGGGACCAACATTCAGATGCTTGGCATCTGGTTCATATTTAATGACAGTTGCAGTGTTCTGGGGGTCCTGTGATCCCCCTTTGCAACCTTCTGACAAGCAAAGCCAATGGGGAGGCCCAGATTCACTTAACAACCCGTTACTAACTTAACAAATGAAGTGATTCACTTAACAACTGTGGCAAGAAAGGTCGTAAAATGGGTCAAAACTCCCTTAAGTGCTTCACTTAGCAACAGAAATGTTGGGCTTGATTGTGGTCATAAGTTGAGGGCTAACTACAGATCCAAAGGAAACAAATTGTTGCCCTGAGGCAGAAATGCTCGATTAGGCCGCATTTTTATTTCCAATAGTACAAGTGGCAGCTTAAGTGCCACATTGGCATGGAGACTACCTTAGTTGCTCAACAGCGAGACACGAGTGAAGCGGGCACAGCAGCGTCTACATTTTCTCCGTCACATGAGAGAAGCGCATCTTCTTCGCACCCTGTCCTTACCATTTTCTACAGAGGGACAGTGGAGAGCATCCGGTCATATTGCATCCCTGTCTGCTTTGGAAGCATCACTGCTTCAGACAGGAAGGCGGTGCAGAGAGTGGTGAGGATGGCAGAAAAGGTTATTGGTAGTTCACTTCCTTCTATCCAGGACAGGGGTCTTCAAACTTGGCCCTTTCATGACTTGTGGACTTCAACTCCCAGAATTCCTCAGCCAGACACGCTGGCTGAGGAATTCTGGGAGTTGAAATCCACAAGTCATAAAAGGGCCACGTTTGAAGACCCCTGGTTTAGTTTAATGAAGAGAAGGACGAGGGGGGGACATGACAGCAGTGTTCCAATATCTGAGGGGCTGCCCCAAAGAAGAGGGGGTCAAGCTATTCTCCAAAGCACCTGAAGGCAGGACAAGAAGCAACGGATGGAAACTAATCAAGGAGAGAAGCAAGCTACAACTAAGAAATTTCTTGACAGTTAAAACAATTAATCAGTGAATAACCTGCCTCCAGAAGTTGTGAATGCTCCAATGCTGGAAGTTTTTAACAAGAGATTGGACAACCATTTGTCTGAAATGGTATTGGGTTTCCTGCCTGAGCAAGGGGTTGGTCTAGAAAACTTCCAAGATCCCTTCCAACTCTGCTATTCTGTTCTGTTCTGTTCTGTTCTAGTCTAGTCTAGTCTAGTCTAGTCTAGTCTAGTCTAGTCTAGTCTCTATTCTAGTCTAGTCTAGTCTAGTCTAGTCTAGTCTAGTCTAGTCTAATAATAATAATAATAATAATAATAACAACAACAACAATAATAAAGTTGGAAGGGACCTTGGAGGTCATTTAGTCCAACCCCCTGCTCAGGCAGGAAACCGTATACCAGTGGTTCTCAACCTGTGGGTCGGGACCCCATTTGGGGTCGAACGACCATTTCACGGGGGTCGCCAAACAACACAGTCCGCCATTTTTTCCCCTTTTCCTTAGCTGTGCTACTCCTTTTTATTCTATTGGCTTTTGAAAGCCAATAGAATAGACTCTCTTGAATAGAGTCTAATTCTATTGGCTTTCAAAAGCCAATAGGAATTGTCCAGGCTGTCTCTGCCCTGCTGAGCCTGCCAAAAGTCCCATTCTGCAAACGGTGCTGCACCAGTTGAGTAGTCCTTGACTTACGACCGGTTGAGTACTCCTCGACTTACGACCGGTTGGGGGGTCGCGGCATTAAAAAGGTTGGGAACCACTGCCCTATACCATTTCAGATCAATGGCTGTCAATGTTCTGTTCTATTCTATATTCTATCCTTATTTCTATCTTTATTTCTATTCTATTCTATTCTATTCTATTCTATTCTATTCTATTCTATTCTATTCTACTCTACTCTACTCTAGTCTAGTATAATAATAATAATAATAATAATAATAATAATAATAATAATAATAATAATAATAAAGTTGGAAGGGACCTTGGAGGCAATCTAGTCCAACCCTCTGCTCTGGCAGGAAACCCTTTACCATTTCAGATCAATGGCTGTCCAGTCTCTTCTTAAAAGAGACTGTTCTTTTCTGTTCTATTCTATATTCTATCATTATTTCTATTCTATTCTATTCTATTCTATTCTATTCTATTCTATTCTATTCCATTCTATTCTATTCTATTCTATTCTATTCTATTCTACTCTACTCTACTCTACTCAAATAATAATAAAGTTGGAAGGGACCTTGGAGGTCATCTAGTCCAACCCCCTGCTCCGGCAGGAAACCCTATATCATTTCAGATCAATGGCTGTCCAGTCTCTTCTTAAAAGAGACTGTTCTGTTCTATGTTCTATCGTTATTTCTATCTTTAATTTTATTCTGTTCTGTTCTATTCTATTCCTTTTCTATTCCATTCCATTCTCTATGAAACAAAGCAGAAGAGCTATTCACTCCCCTCTCCCCTTCCCACCCCCCATCTCTCCTCTCATCCCTCCTTCAATTTTCTGCCTTCCATTGCAGGCGGGAACCACTAGATGGGGGTCTCATGCAAAGAGGATCCCAGCTGTCCAATCCAGAACAGCTGTGCCGAAGACCTTTTTCCCTGGAAGTGACCCCC